AAAAAATGGCAATAACATCGCCATTCGCCATTTCTTTATGGAGTACAATAAACATATTTAGATATGTAATTTGGTTTTGTACATTTTTGTTTAATATTTTGTTTTATCACTCATTACTTTCAAAAGTACCTGGTATTTACAGTGTTATTTGTGATATATGCGTTCCTCAGTCACATGGTTTTTTAAATATAATTTAAAAAATGTATTACGCTAAGATTTGTCTGTATTAAAAAATATGTGAATTTTACGATCAGTTTATCGCAAATTGTAAATAGTTGTATTTGAAGGTATGTTTAAATGCTTTCAGATATTGATTTTTACTTATATTCATAAAAGTTACGTCTCAATGTGAATAATTCTAAATGGAATAAATTCCGGAATCCCGGGAGTACCTTAAAAATATCCCGAAATCCCGGGATCACAATTTTCCGCATATTTTGGCATCACTAGTATGTATGTACGTATCATACATACACATCTAAACACCCTTTCGTTCTATATGTACTTTTCCCATAGGCAGCCCCTTTGTATAATTTTATCATTGTTGTTGGCTATATTTGATGTTTGCTGTTTGCTGTTTATTTCTAGCACCAGCGACACTCGAAGCCAACTGACGCTCTGTATGCTGAATTGGCAGCACCACTTAACATCTTGCAATTGCCTCAATAATTGTTTCAATAATCGTAAAAATCACGAAAATGGCGGATACTCAACGGACTCAAAATATGCTGGCTAAGCGCTCCTGCGTGGATATTACACGACTATAACTGTTGTTACGTATACGCAATTCGTAATGCCGCACGGACGTTCATACATTAGCAAAGGTTGGTGGCTGTGTAAAAGCTGCTTAAAAAGAACTTACATACATACATACATATTATGACCAAAGTTTTCGCACGGATAAATTTTGAGCCTGTATCGGTATCGGATTATACATATATATGTATGTGAGCGCTTTTATATAAATACAAATGTATGTTCTCCTTGGCCTTATACAGCCGATAACGGTCGACACTGATGTGCGGTGTCGAAGATTTAAAGAGCCGATTCTGTAGAGTCCGGTTCCGGTTCTCAAAGGACGGTAAAGTACAAGGAGCCATATAAAAGTTGCTCAAAATAAGATTATACAGTTCAGTTGCTTCTTAACCAACAACTTTCCACCTTCTCAAGAATTGTACATTTACGCAATAAAATAATTAATTGTAAACATTTGTGTTATCCACTACAACCATGAACTTTGTAATCGTGAAATGCAAACTACAAAATGAGTCAAAGAGAAAATTGTTTGTAGCTGATGGAATTGGCTGTGTAAAGCAGAGATTCGCTAATTATTCGTATGTTCTCTTGAGACAGTTTTTGCTTTTTTTATTGCCGATTTTTGAATAGTTTTTAAGTTCTTTAGGCTTTTTTTTTTGTATTTCTGAGCACTATTTGCAGGTTTTCCAACCCGTGTTTGAGTCTCTTGGAATCTTTCTTGAGTTTTTCTGAAACAGTTTTTGAAGTGAAACTTCTTTAGCGGCGGTTGGTTGGTTGGGAGTAAATTGGCAAATTCAACGGAAATTGCACACGGAAATGGTGCAAAGGAAATGATGCAACGGAAATGGTTGGGGTTGAAACAATTGCTTCTTGTGTGTATGCATATGGTATTAATTTAACAAAAATTTGCTAATTAAAGGTTAAAGAATAACACTTGGAAAAAGACCAATACAAGAATGAAAGTAAAGTTGAATATGTACATAGATAAAGAAAAAGATAAAGACAAAGGTAAAAATAAAAACAAAAACAAAGGTGCGTAAAGATAAAGGCAAAAACTAAGACCAAGATAAATTTAAACACTTTACGTATATATATAAGGGCCAAGGTGAAGGAGAATATGTAGATAAAGGAAATGATAAGCATAAAAGTAAAAACAAAGATGAGAATAAGGATACCGATAAAAGTAAAGACGAAGATAGGGGAAGATTAAAATAAAGGTAATTAAAGAGGAAGGGATATAGAGAGAGACACAGAGACTCAATCTGGGAAATATTTTAGGATTTTAGAAATTTTCGGGATTCTAGAGACTTATCGATAAAATAATCGATATGTTTGTCGGTTTTCTTATCGATTTTCTTATCAAAATTTTTATCGATATTGTTATCAATTTTGCTATCGATATTTTCGGAACTTATCGATATAATTATCGATATTTTTATCGATTTTGTAATCGATATTTTTATCGATTTTGTAATCGATATTTTTAACTATTTTGTTAGCGAAGTTTTATATCGATTTTGTTATCAATATTTATCGATTTTTTTATCGGTATTTATCGATTTTGTTATCGACATTTATCGATTTTGTTGTCGATATTTATCGATTCTTTTATCGAGATTTTTATCGGGTATGCTACCAGTGGTATTATCGATGTTGCTATTGAAATTTTTATCGAAATTGTCATCGAATTTGTTATCGATATTTCTATCGGTTTTGTATCGATATTTTGTTGGAGTTTATTATCGATTTTGTGATCGATAGAGTATAAAGATAAAAATTAAGAAAACAGAATGAAAAACAGAACAACATGAATGTTATTAAAAGGAACAGGGTAGGGATCTAGATAGAAAAAAGAAAAAAAATATAACCTTAAGCAAAAGCAGATGTGTGTATGTATACATTGGTTATGCGACAAAATAGATAAGTAACGTAAGTTTCACTTCTCCAGTGTGGCCCAGGCGCACTTGTCTTTTTTGTTTTTGGCATCGAGTTTCAATCTCTCTTCAGTTTTTTCGGAACCGTTTTTTTTGCATCGAGTTTCAATTCTTTTATGACTGTTTTGAGTTCTTGTAAAGCCCGGACCGGTCGGTTCGTTAAAGGACCCGGTTCTCCGGATTCGGTACTCGTGTTCTGTACTTCACCACCGGCCGAGCATTACACAAGTATACACGGTTTTGGATCTGGGCAACTAAAAGTGGTTTTTAAGTCAATTTATGACGCTGAATCCGAATCTGCATTCCGTTTTTTAAGATTGATTCTAGTTTTTAATATAGTCAATAAATTCATTTTTTAAGATTTTTGTCAAATAATATTCATTTTATTAACTTAAAAGTAACAAATCAGAAATGAAGATTGGTGGGACTTTGCCTTTTGTATTGTTTAGTATCTGTTTCGCGTATTAGAGTCCAACAATAGTCGCTCATCATGCCTTCATCCCAAAATCCTTGGTATCGTCTTTCAATGTTGGCTAGATCTTGGTGTAACCGCTCTCCCTGTTCGTCGCTCGTATCACCCAAGTTTTCGGGAAAAAAATCGAGATGGGAATGCAGAAAATGCATCTTTAGAGACATCCGAGCTCCAATCTTGCGATAATTTTCCAACATATCGCCAATAATTTCCTCAAAATTAGGGGATTTGTGATTACCAAGAAAGTGGTGAACGATATTTTGAAAAGATGCCCACGCGGCTGCTTCATCGGGCGTTAAACATTTTGTAAATTCTTTATCAGCCATTAGTTTTCTAATATCAGGTCCGACAAATATTCCTTCTTTGATTTTTGCATATGACAATTTAGGAAACAACTTGACTAAGTACTGAAAAGCCGGTCCTTCACGGTTTAATGCTTTGACGAAGTTCTTTATAAGACCAAGTTTAATGTGAAGAGGTGGCAGGAAAATGTCTTGTGGATTTACAAGTGGTTCAGCGGAGACGTTTTGCTGTCCAGGCTCATATTGAGTACGACTTTGCCATTCTTTCCTCACATAATGATGTTCAGTTGCGCGGCTATCCCACAAGCATAAGAAACAACAAAATTTGGTGAATCCAGATTGCATCCCAGTTAAGATGCTAATAACCTGTTGAAATAATATAAAAAATAAGTGTTTTCGATTTAATTTTCACATATTTTCCATTTATGATCATTGTATTTGATGAAGCACAGGATCTTCCGCATTGTTTCGTAGCATTCCTTCGTTTGTACTGCATGAGCAATCGGAATAGATGGTTTGATATTCCCGTTGTGGAGAAGAGCAGCTTTTAGGCTGTACTTGGAACCATCAATGAATAAACGCCATTCGTTTCGATCGTAGGGTGCATTCATTTCATTAAATAAACCATTAATATCGTTACAGAAACTTATGTTGTCTTCTTTTTTGAAGAACGGTCGAAGTGCCTCATTTCTGTTTCTGTATACAGTAACTTTTGTTCGAGAGTCTAGATTTTTCCATTGCTGCAGCCGTGATCCTAGCAACTCTGCTTTTTGTTTGGACAAATTCAAATCACGAATCAAATCGCTTAGTTCATCTTGCAAAATTAAATGTGGCCCTTCCATGACAAAGTCGCTTTCACTGCTCGGGGGTGATGGAGTTAAAGTTTCCAGGACGTTTGCACTTATACTTCGATAAACTGGCAATGGATCATTAGCAGTACGTGGAACTGGCTTGGATACTGATGATACATCAGGATAATTATATTTTGCTAATTTTTTTGCATTTATACCCGTAACTTTCATCAAACAAAAGTAGCAATCATCTTTATGGTTTTTAGGTTCTCTCCAGAGCGCTGGCATTGAAAAGGAAAAGTACTCACGTTCTCCCGATGACCACTTATACAGCTTTGTTTTGCATGCGTTACAAATAAATTTCGGTCTCCATGACTTATGAGTGTCTGCTACGCTGAAACCAAAGTAGTGCAGATACGCATCTTTGAGCGCATTTGTTATTATTTTGCCACTTTTTTTAATCATATAACCACCACAAACGTAACAAAAACACTTTGGATCAACTTTACAACACTGTCTCTGCATTTTTATTTTTATATAATGGTGTTGATGGTTTAGAATATATTTTAATTCTGAGTCTTAAACTATTTTACATTTGCTTATATACTAAATCTTAAAACTATGTTCCTAAACGTAACTATACTTGTAAGTGCGTTTGTGTATCTAATGTTAGACAAAGGACTAATTTTAATGTCTTCTTAGTTTATTCTATTGTTTGCTTCTATTGTTCTATTGATTCTATTGTTTGTTTGTTCAAAGGCATTGCTTGAATATTAAGAAACCATCTGTTTTGTATGAAGGTTGTTTATACTTATCTTTCCTCAAGTGGACTGTATGTGTGTACATATGTGTGTATGTGTGATAGGTTTAGGTACCTTATCCTGTTTGTTTTGTAAGTATGTATGTATGACAATATTATCTTAAATTCTAGTGGACTGTATAAATTTACTTATTTTAGAGCGGCGTAGTTATATGTTCATACTTTTATGAACATTCTGCCATTTTTACTTACTTATCAAGCAGTGCCACGATTTAAAAGCTGCTATAACAGCACAATGGTGCTATCATGCGAGATCTCGGAAACTAGAATCAATCTTGAAAAACTGAATGCAGATTCGAATTCAGCATATCAAATATAGTTAAGAATCGCTCTTATCTGCTCAGATCCAAAAGTTGACCTGAATTTGTAAACTTGTGTTATTTAGCCCATACAAGTTGCAGTGGACGCGCAGCGTAACACTTCCTTGTAATCGCCGCGAGCGTAGTCCGAATTCAATGCTTCAAGTAAAAAGTTTTTGCGTATTTCTATTTTGCCCACCGACAGTCTTGTTTTCACTTCTTTATCCAATACCACTACCATAACTACGGTGACCATCCGCCCTGTATTATACGGGTCAGGCCTCTTTTTCGTCAGATGTCCTGGAAATTTATTTATTTCATACGGACGCTAAATGTTCCGTATTTATTTTAATGTCCCGTATTTGTGCCGTATTCTATATTTTGGTGCCGTAACGGCTCATAAAAAGGACAGGCCTGTGAACCAGTTTTTATTTTTGAATCTGAACGCTTGTTATTCGAATCGAGGACCACATATGTAGTTCTGTATGTGGTTTCTGAAGTCATAAAAACTGAGTATTTGTGAGTATGAATCAAGATTAGACGTTAATGATTATTGTTAAAATTTTACTAGTACATATTTAGCTTTTCAAAGTTTTTTTTCAACGCATTTCACGCTGAATATTCTGTGTGGAGTAAAGCATATTGAACAGTTAGCAGCAATAGGGCAGCTGTTTTTACTTCTGTCGAGAATTTCGTCTTTAAATTGTCACGTTTTCTTAAATTTTACTCTAAAATTTCAAACTTTGTTTACGCATATGGATTCCAAAATCAACAACAAAATATACACAGCTTCCTGTTTTTTCTCGTATACTATTACCAGTCCAATGTGCCGTGATGTGGAGGCATTTTACAAATTTTCTGAGAATAGAAGATATTCATTAGTCGAAACTACGCCAAAAATATTTTTACTGATTGTATGGGGGGTTGTACCCCTGTGGAAAATATCTCTAGTTCTAAACTGGCGCGCTTCTAGTACATTTAGACCCATTACCTTTTCTATAGTTTCGAACCAGTTCTAAATTCGTCGGTTTAGATATAGATTTCTAAAAATAAAATTGTTTTTTTTTAAGTGTCACATCTCGCTGCTTTTGAACTGGTGGCGATCTAGTTACTATCGGCGATAAAGATCTAGGACGTAACTACAAATTTGGTTCACCAGTTCGGGGTTTCCATACAGGGATGTAACTTCAACCTGAGAAACTCCAAATAAGAAGGCTACAATGAGGATTTTCTAAAAGTAAAGAAGTTCTCAAAGATGGAAGGGAAGTGGACCCCTTCAAAGGTACGCTTTGCAATTCCGCTCGTTCCGGGTGCTATTCACTGCATTGCGCTTTTCAGAAATCTGAGTCTGAAAATAATCCGTTGAGTACCACTAGATCTCCAAAAGTAGTCGAATAGTTTCATCATATTTCCCTGCCTAGGAATGTTTGTAACAAATTTTTCCGTCATTGCCATTATTGTTACATACGATGACAAATACGAAGATGAATACTAATGCGAGTACTTAAGCTAATATTAAGAGTAATAAAAATGTCTGCAGTATGAAACAATGTTGCTAACTCGTGAGACTTCGCGCATAATTTGGGATTTTCGCACGATATAAGGGCACACGGTATTTTGCGTGTCATTATGGGATTCCTATCTAAATAATTTTTTTTGGTTTATTTCGTTTTTTAATTTGCTTTTCAGTCATTATTACATCTCTTTATTCAAACATATGTATCTTTCAGTAATTTCTCTTTAACCATTACTTTCAAAAGTTTCAAACTGTTAACTCTTGAAGGCAGATATCAGTTTAAGATGAAAATAATAAAATATAAAACTTCATTATGTATATAGTTTACATAGAAAGTTTTAATTTTCCCAAGGCTGACGGGTGAGACAACGATGACACCCGCCTCTCTGAGTTGATGAATTCATTTCCCAACTTTAGACAAACTATATCTAAATATTTCACGCATTGCGGGTTTCTCGAATAAAGTCAATATAATTTTAACGTTAATTTTATGGTTTGATGGCACATTATATTTGAAATAAAAAAAAAAATAAAACATTTTAGCTAGTGACGGGTGGGACAGAATTTTGTGATGGTTGGGATACATAGTTCGTGAGTAAAAAATGAACACTACAGATTTGATATGAATATTTATTTAATTTTTAGTAAACAAGACCTAATTTAAACTATAGAAAGCTTACGCATTTGTAATTTAGGTTAAAAAAACACATATTTTTATGTGAGGGGTAGGACATGTAATAAGCCTTTCTTTGGGCGCTGATAACTTTTCCATTAATTTAGTTTTGTAATAACTCAGCACTGTTTAAAAGACAATGCGTTTTACTTTCTTTTTGGATAATTATTTTTTGCATTATCATCTTCAAAACACGAGAAAGGCCTTGTGAACTTGATACAAAAAAATAGTAGGTACTATATCAGAGATAGTCGCATTACGGCTGTGTTTGTAATGTGCAACGCAAAAAAGTGAAAACCGCTGAACAGAAAAGGGAATTTCGAATTTAAAAATGAGATAAACAAAAACCTTCGCAGTTGGCTAGTATGAAATGAACTAAAAATGAATCGAAGTACTGTGGTTCAGTCGCCCTCCCTTTTTTGTTTTTCTATTGATCTATTAGAAATTCATCGTTTCGAAAAGGTTTAAAGTGCATGTTTTATTTTTACCCATTTATGTTCAATAAAAGGGGAATTATTTTAACCAGCATCGAATCCTTCTGATTCGTAAGAAGTTTTGCTTTGATTTAAACACGCAAAACATTTTATTTAAATATTTGCAAAACGCTTGAAGAAAATGGCTGTAAGAAGTTTTTTCTATCCTGTAAAATTAAAAAAAGGACTTAGCAATTTTTCACATGAGCCAGCAATATGTACATATTTATGTGCTTCAAATTTTAACTTGAATACTAATAATAGGGGTCTACACGCCGACCTTGGTACTCGGTAGCTCGGTGTTCAGAAGTTTTTCCCCACGTCCTTTGTTTATGTAAAATTATTTTATTATCGGTTTACCGATTACCGAATTATCATAGTGGAAGCGTGACAATTTCTCTGGTAGTTGGTAAACTGCAATCAGCTGTTCGATATATAATAAATATATTACATTTTTATATATTTAAAAGTATAACGCATACATATGAGAATGAGTACAATTCATTAAACTTTCTTTTACAATTTTTTTGGCAAAAGCTACGAATAAACTGTTGATAAACCTAGTTTACCATACTAACAAAAGTAAGCTGAAAAGGACGGTCGCAGTTGATAACATTACCGAAGACCAACTAGCAGCTTACCAAAACTATCAAAATGGGTGTGACGACCCTTAATAATATCATGTATTATACATTAAAGTTTAGCGGCTGTGGCTCCGACACTGGCCTAATTCTTTTACGTAGGGAGCTTATCGAAGTAAAAATTAATAAAATGAATGTC